CTATATTTTCCCTTCCTATGTTGTATGTGTGCAATTGATTGCTCCTTCCTAAGTGGAGAACTTTTGCATTTGTCCTTCCTGAATTTGTTTCATTTTCTGTTCGGGTGATACATAGAGGACTTAAATCTCCAATGTAGAATAGTGATAGAGATGTAGCCGTGTTAGTCTGGTGTAGCTGAAACAAAATACAGGACTATGTAGCACTTTAAAGACTAACAAGATGGTTTATTAGATGATGAGCTTTCGTGGGCCAGACCCACTTCCTCAGATCAAATAATGGAAGAAAACTCACAGACATTTTTAACTCACAGACATTTCCCCTTCCCCACCTCTAATATCATTAACTCACAGGCATTCCCCTTCCTTCCCCCCCCCCCCCCTACATCCCCCTTCTGTTCTGTAATGTGATTTGTCCTTTTCATGTGTGTTCATTTTTTTAAAATTGTATCCTTTGGTATATATGGTTGTGACTATTTTCTTCCATTATTTGATCTGAGGAAGTGGGTCTGGCCCACGAAAGCTCATCATCTAATAAACCATCTTGTTAGTCTTTAAAGTGCTACATAGTCCTGTATTTTGTTAAATCTCCAAGAATGTCAGTCTTGCATGGCAGCAGCATCCTCTACTGCAGGCAGCTGTCAGGCACCACCCTGTTTCAGGCTTCTTTGCTCTTCTTTGCAGTGAACAGCCCTGGGCAAGCAACTTGAAAAGGGAAAAAGAAGCCAGCACTATATGATAAGCCAACTCTGTGATGACCACCAGTAAAGATTTTGCAGACTAAGTGTCCATAGACCAGAGTTCAGTAATAGTTGACTCAAGAGAATCCAAGAAAGCTTGGATTCAGATAATACGTGAAACTGATAGGGTGGTCACTATATTTAATTCTCCAAACTATTCTTGCCCATGGAAAGCAAAATATTCTAAGCACAAGAGATTGGTTGGTTTCCTTTTACAGACACTGTTGAACAACAGTTCTGGAAAGGAGGAGATACCAATAATCCTGGGAAAGAATCAAAAGGGCTTAAAATCGAAAACAAAACAATGTCAGCAACCATATCTACAATCAAACTGAAATGTGACAACCATAGTATTCTTTTAGCAAAATTAGGTCCAGGTTGCAGTTTGGAAATAGGCATAACAGAATGCAACTGTTGATTTTCTCTGCTCAGCTGTGTGCTGTTTTAAGTAGCTTTTCCTAACAAGGATTCTTCACTGCACATTTGAGCCAGGCTGAGTTTAGATGAGCTTAGCTTGTCCCCCCACTATCATCCACCTGTAAAATTTCTGACCTGAAATAGGAGGTGCTTTGAGCTATCTTACCCACATGGGAGGAAGTCTTTCATAGTGAAGACATAAGCAAAAGTGCTGATAATCCTCCAATGTCCTTCCTGCAAATCCCCCAAAGCACTGACTAGTTGGGGAAGAATCCTAGAGCATCTCATCACAAAGACTCTTTGGGTATGTCCCAGGCACACATGGGCACGTTCAGAAACTGTGAAGACACAAAAACTGCTCTGGTAGCACTTTATAGACTAACAAAACATGTACAATAAAACTCCATTAGTCCGGCATCCAATGCTCTGGGGCTCCTGATGGTCCGGCACCATCAGGAACCCGGAAGTGCTGGGGCAGCCAGACAGGCTTCCCCCATTCAGCTGCTGCTGAAACTGACCAGCAGCTGGATCGGGGAAGCCGGGAGCAGAGCAGCTGGGGGGCTGGC